ACTAACTCTTCAGTTTATTCAAAAACAGTTCAGAAAAGCAAGAAAGGTTCAAGGAGGAAGAATGAAAAAACAAGAGCAGTAAAGTGTAAACAGTAAAGTGTAAAAAATTTTTTGAACTATTTTTGCAACTTTTCTCTGTGCCTGAAATTACTTTCATGATATGTTTTGATTTTTTTTTAGTGACACTGGGGATTGAACCCAGGGTCTTTACACTAAATGACACCCCCAGTCCTTCCTTAACTTTTTTTTAAATTTTGAGACAGGGTCTCCCTAGGTAATTAAGCTACTCAAGTTAGGCTAGAATTTGCAACCTTCCACCTCAGCTTCCCAGAGTCCAGGTATTACAGATGTGAACCGCCATGCTTGGCGTTTTGTTGTTTTAATGCAGATTTTTCTGATTCAGTTTCAGCCAGGCTGTTAAGTGAGCTCCAGTCCTAAAACAAGGGGACAGCGAGATAGAGAGGAGACCTCAGAGGCATCTGGGAGGCAGAGAGCTTTCCAAGAAACAATGGTTGGGAGCTGTGGAGGGCGCACAGGTGCTGGGATCAACCGCCTTGGTCTCACCAGCTGATGGAGGGGCTTGGAGGAAGCCACAGCTTGACCTGTGCGTCCTGGGTTCTAGGGGCTCGAAGAGGAGCTGAGGCTGCAGAGTGTGGAACGGGTCCGAGGAAGAGGGGATACCTTGTGCACCCTTCCGATGTCAGCTGCATCTCCCACTGGGTCAGGATTAGAGATCGTCCAGGAAAGTGCTGGCTGCAGCGCCAGGCATGGGAAGTGCTCACAAATGCGTCCTTGGCAGTAGGGGCGGGAGCGCAGGACACAGTGGATTCCTGGTTCAATGTGCTCAAGCTGTGGAACCGCGTCTCCTGGGGTGTAAGGGACGCTGAGAGGGCAGAGCTGGTGAGAGTCGAGCCAGCTGTCAGGGTCTCACTCCCAGAGCTGAGTTTAAGAAAAGGGACCCTCCAACCCCAGACAGGAGCTCCTCCTGAGCAAGTAGGCCACCTGGACTACTGCTTCTGCTCGGCGACGCAGCATGGCTGGCGCGTCCCCTGGTGGTGAAACTGAGTCAGGAGCCAAGACCGGCTGAGGGGTTCACTGCGCGCCCTCTACTGGTTAAAGGGAGCAGAGCCCAGACTCTGGTGCCCCCACCTATATACTTTTGCTCAGGTGGGAGGAGCTTGGCTGTTCTCTCTGCGGACGTTACTGGCCCTGTTTGAGCTCCAGGGGAGCGTCAGGGTCTCTTTCCTCTCTCAAACTACAGCCCAGCACTGGAGACAGGCTGGTGAGTATCTGTTGACAGTTCGAGGATCATCTAAGTGAAGGCATGGTAACCAAGGTGTTATAAACATTCAAGTCCATGGGGCCGTGTTTAGCTTCTCCAAGACTGCAGCCCTGGTCCAGAACTGAGCACACAGCCGACGCTCAACCGTGGCAGTTAACTTCTGCTGTATGTAATAGCGCTATGGTTTCAATAATGCAAATGGCTTAAGGCGAGTTTTGACGAGATTGCATATCTAACTACCCATGAGTCAGGGTGCTGGGGGCAGAGTCAGACCCTGGGCCGCTGCCTTCCAAAGCTTGCTCTGAGCAGGGCTATTTCTGGCGGGTTGGATGTACTGTCTTTGCCTGGATCCGCCCTTTCTCTCCCCAGGTGACCCGAAGATGTAGGGGCTCAAGCCAGCACCCTACATCAAAGCTCAGTGGCAGAACTACCACTCCTCCCCACACCCTGGGCAATGCCAGGATAGGATTTGCAGGAAAGACCAAACTAGCAGAGGAGGCGAATGTTCTGACATCCTGAACCTGGGGAAGAGAACTGAATGCCAAATGCCAAATGCCAGCCAGGATGAGTGACATGCTAGTCGTGGAACTGCCAGCAGATGTGACACAAGTCACTCAGATATGGAGCTGCTGCTAAGAGGAAGACAGGGTTCAAAGCAGGACACCCCAAGGTGTACTCAGATGAGAATCACAGATCCACTTTGTTCTTTCCGTTCTATTGTGGCAGAGTGACATGCGGGTGGCTTTAGGTCATGTAGGCTTAGCATGAAGAAATAGCACCCACTCAGTCCTGGAGCTCGGGTCACTCGGGATACTCTTTCTCCCCTGCCTCCCCTTGACCCCCAGTAGGGAGGAGAGGGTAATTCGGTTCACCCAGTGGGCAGCCAATGACTCAGACACTGAACAGGACAGGGCATCGGGATATACACGGCTGCACAAAAGGCCATATTCACCAGCCTTTACACAGATGGCATAACAAGCATCTTTCTGACATCACCCCGTCTTGGCACCTGACACCCTCACTGCAACTGCAGGAGGAAGGTACAGTTACTATTTCCCACTTATACATGAGGAAACACGTTTGGAGAGGGAGGGTGATTTTTCTGAGGCCACCCAGCTAGCAAGCTACAAAGTCAAGCTGGTATTCCCCTCTGGGAGCCTGCTCTGTCCTGTCTCACTTCCCAGCCAATCCAGAACCAAGGGGACAGTGAGGGGCAATGTACCCAGTATGCCCTTGAAGTCTGGGACTTTTCCAACTTAGCATCACCCCAGGAATGTTTAGGCTTTTCCCCATTATTTTCTACATAGAGGACGTGCAAAAAACATTGAAGAGTGACAGTCTGGGGTTACAGACAGGGGCCTCTGGGATCCCCCTCAAACCCACCTCCCCCAGACCAAAGCTGCCTGGAGGGCAGGGACAACCCCTGACATTTTCGTCCCCAGGGTCTGTATGGCTGGTGCTCAGCAAACACAATGGTGGCCTGGTTACAGGACAGAGGAAGGGAGGGGTCCTACCCACACACAGGTGGGGTCAGCCCCTCCTGCCTCCTAGCCCCCATGATTTTCCTCCAAACCTGGCCTCCTCCAGACGCAGGCTGGACACAGGCAGGGATGCAGTGGATGCTGTCAGCTCTGTTCGGGGACCTTGGGTCTTGTCACCTGGCTTTTGGCTGTGTTCCTCATCCATGAGATTATTGCTCCAGCAGGGAGATTTTAAGAGCCTGCTGAGAGCCATGCTGTATCCACTGGAGGGACAGACTCTGAGGAGGGAAGGAGGGTCAGACAAGCCTCCCTCTGGGCCAGCTTCCACTGGATACCTCCAGAACTTCAGCCACAAGGCCAGCTCGGAGGCATGACAGTACACAGCCCTGCACGGGGCTGAGATGAATCTGCCCTGGTCCAGGGCTTTCTCATCTATTGCATGGTATCAGGGCCCCTAAGGCGAGGCACTGTGGGATGCTGGGGGTGGGGGAAACCATCTACCGGCTTTGGCTTCAGGGTCAATGAGGCTTTGAGGCCAGCTGTGCTCTCTGGGTCTTCTCCAGCACAGCTTAGGGACAGCTCGGTCTCTGAGCCTTGACTCACATCAGTAAGGTGGAAGTGGGAAGCGAGTTGTCGTGAGGGTGGGAGCCGGCAGCAGGTACCACCTGGCCCAGGCAAAGCCCTCAGTGGTGAGAGACGCTGCTCTGGCAGTGCTGGGGTTGTGACAGAATGCCTGGCACATGGCTGGAGGCATGAAGGAGATGGCAACTTGTCATTATTGGATGTTCATGGTACATGCCATGATGCATTGGCCCAGGGAAACAGAGCAGTTAAATAAAACAGGCTGGATGTAGTGGTGCACCCCTGTAATCCCAGCACTCTGGGAGGCTTAAGCAGGAGGCTTGCACCTTCAAGCCCAGCGTGGGCAGCTTGGTAACTCAGCGAGACCCTGTCTCAAAAATACAAATTTTTAAAAGAGCTGGGGGTGTAGTTCAGGGTAAATGCCCTGGATTCAGTCCCCAGCACCACATAAAATACACGGGTGCACGCGCAAGCGCGTGCGCACACACACACACACACAAGTGCGGCAAGAAGGCAGAAAACAGCCAGGGATCTTTATATTTTGTCCTATTCACCGCCCTAGATTAAGCACCGAGGGTCCTGAGATACAGTGGCGCAGGGTCAGCGTTGTCCCCGAGAAGTTCAGGGAGCGGTAGGGGAGGGCAAGAGAAAAACGGAGTGGGAGAGAGGAGGAGGGGCAGCCCCGACGACATGAATAGTGTCCCCCATTTTTCCCTTCCTAGCCCCAGCTGCTCCCCTAACCTCCGCCATCCACCTTGAACACCAGTCCCAAAATGCCACGTTCACGACCTTCCTGCTTGGGTGGAAGCCACGATGCCGTCAGGTCCTGCGGCAGAGCCCGCCCCTCCGTGAGACGGCCCCAGGTGGGCGGGGCCTGCTCCACAACGGGCCCCGCCTTCTGGATCTCGAACCTGCTCCTTCCTCTCCCCAAGCGTGACCCATTCTGCCCGGTCCCCCCCTCCCGCTTTCCTCCCTGAGCTCCTTTGTCTGGGATTTTCGGTCTGCTCTGCTCCCAAGGCAGAGGACAGCTGCCCGTGCTCTCCAGCCCACGCTGCTCTTCTGTCCTCAAAGAACTGTGGGGAAAGAATCCACCTCATCCTTGCGCCCCTGCACATGCACAGGGTACAGGGAGCACTTTCTCGGAGCTGGCCGGGGGGCAGCTCAGTGACAGCAACTCTTGGGACTGGTTCGCAACCCAGCACTGCAGAGCACACACACGCATTACTATAAAATAGATCGAGGTAAATGTTACAGGAATCGCAGGGGGAGAAGTCTCAGCCCCCGCAGGGGCTGAACTGCATAAAGAAAGGACAATACTATAATGTAGGGACAAACACTTGAGCTTAGCCAAAAGGCCAAGAAGCGACGGTGCGGGACAAACAAACGGTAGGATTGCTGGCTTGGGACATGACTCTTTTTTATGTATCTGGGAACCTGACCTTCCCTAAACATAGGGAGTTGCCAACGTGCTTTTTGGAACGCATAGGTGCTTGGACCCGCCAGGTGGGGTGGGGCAGGGAAAGGAGGTATGGAGTGGGCGTGGCGATGGTAGTGGGCGTGGGGAGGCGGTGGCGGTGGAGTGGGCGGGGCGTCGGGAGGGCAGGAGGGAGAGGAGGGGTGGTGGGCGTGGCGACGTGGTGGGCGGGGCTTGGAATGCGTGCGGACTACAGCTCCCGGCATGCCCGGCGCACACCGTCCGCGGCGCGGAGCCGAGGATGCAGACGCCGAGGGGGGCGATGAGGATGGAGGCTGGGGAGGGAGCGCGGCCGGCGGGGGCGGGTGGCCGCGCCGCGGGCGGTTGGGGCAAGTGGGTGCGGCTCAACGTGGGGGGCACAGTGTTCCTGACCACCCGGCAGACGCTGTGCCGGGAGCAGAAGTCCTTCCTCAGCCGCCTGTGCCAGGGGGAAGAGCTGCAGTCGGATCGGGTGAGCGCGCGGGGGCGGCGACTGGGGTCCGGGCTCCTGACGCTGCCCTGTCCCGCCCGGCCCGGCCAGCGCCTCCGCCCGCAGCCTGGGGCCCGGCTGGATTCTTTCCCAGGAGCGGGAGGCGGGAAGAATTGGCAGGAGGGGGAGGGAGTGGAGCCCAAGGTATGCCCATTGCCGTGGCAACGGGGCGACGCAGGCCGCGGCCCCTTGGAGCCTGGAGGCCGCCCCATCTGGGGCCCTGGAGTGGGGTGGACCCGCTTCCCAGACAGGACCCCCGCTGCGGAGACGAGTTGAAGGGGCCGCCTTCCTGCTCTTCGGGCTGTGGGTGGTGGAGGGACGAAGAGAACACTAGAGGAGCCTGGGTGCCTTCTGAGCTGGGCTTAATCTGGGAGGAGCACTGGCCCATCGGACACTATTTCTGGGCAGCCGCGGTGCTCTAGTCACCTGCATGACCTTGGGTGGAACCCTTCCCGCCTCCGGGCTCAACCTCCTCCTCTGTAACCTAAGGGGCTGGTCTGGAGATACTTTAAAGATTCCCTGTCTCTCATGCCTAAGCTGTGACCTTGGGCAAGTGCCTTATCCTGTGATGTATCCATGCCTGCCCTGCCTCCCTGCGGGCTGCGAGTCTCCAATCAGAGTGTGGCTCCTTTGGAAACTTGTAAACATCCCTGAAAGACTAGGGAGCTGGTGGACCATGGGGCTGGCCTTGGGGGACCCTCCCAGAGCTCTGTGCTGGACCACATGCCTCTCAGCATATGTCCACAGCGACCCTTAATTATGGGGAGAGGAGAGAGGTTCAGACAGGGCAAATTGCTGACCCAGAGTCTGGAAAAGGCAGGCACAGGGTTTGAACTTAGGTCCACCTGACTCCAGGGCCTTATCTCACCATCCTGCCTCTGCCTTCTCCCTCCCTGAAGTCCCTTCCCGGATCTGCTGAGAGCATGCATATAAAGGTTGTCTGGGAGGTCCAGGGGTGGGCTCACTTCTCTTACCACCTATGCCCTCTTCTCCCTAGGATGAGACCGGGGCCTATCTCATCGACCGTGACCCCACCTACTTTGGGCCCATTCTGAACTTTCTCCGACATGGCAAGCTGGTCCTGGACAAGGACATGGCGGAGGAGGGTGAGTTGGTCCAGGGGGCTGGCCTGGGGCCCGTGTCCTAGCGCTGCCTCTGCAGCCTGCTGTGTCCTTCCCTGGAGGCCTAGAGCCTTTTCTCCCAGCCAGGTTGGATGCCTGCTTTCTCCTATGTGGGCAGGGTTGCATTCTCAGGGTCTCTGCCAAGCTTTCACTGAATGAATGCTGTCAGGGAAGTTGACAGAGACATACACAGCGGGCAGAGGAGGCCAGTGACTGCCTGTTGTAGGCAGGAATGCCCTTTCTCACCCAGAGGCAGGGGTAGGGGCATGGGTGGAGATGGGCGTGGGAAAGGCTCAGCCTTATTCTCCGGGTGATCCAGCGTCTCAGATGCTGCTTGGCAAGGGCTGGCAGGCAGCAGGTGGGCGGAGTGGGTACCTCCTCCCCAATCTGGCACCCTCTGCACACTGCACTGGTTGTGGGTGGAGGCAGGGGTTGCTCTCTGGGAGGGCTTCGGCTCTCCCAAGCCTGCCATGCCCACATCTGGGCCTAGCACACGGTGGGGAAGCCATGGCAGGGAGAACGGTCCCTTCACATAGCCCAGCCAGGGCCAAGGCCTACAGTCAGTGCTGAGTCAACTTTCCCCAGAGCACAGCGTGTGTCTGTGGTCAGCTGACCCAGCGGGGCCAGCTAGGACACATTACTTCTCTCTGCATCTCCACTGGTGTCTCTAAAACGGGGCAATGGCCTGCATTCTGCAGAGCACACATTGGTCTTAGAGGTATCCTGAGTCCCATGCCACTGGGGATGTTGACACAGCCCATCTTATCCCTCTCCGCTCGGGCCATGCTCTCCCTTCCCTGACCCCCAGGTGGGCCAAGTGACTTTCCAGTAGATCAAGCCTTCAACACTAAGTGCAAGTACTTCCCAGCTCTGCTGAGCCCTAGCAGCAGCCCCTCTGGGAGCCCAGGCGCTCTGGGCGTGGCCTGGGCCTAGAGCAGATCCCACGGGAGGGGAAGTGAACACTGCAGGTGCGTCACACCCAACACCTGTTTACAGGTTCTGGGCTTCTCAAAGCCCTGCTACTTGCCAGCACCTTCATTCAGGCAGGTGGGAGATCTGAGAGGGGATTTGGTGAGCTCTATGACTCTGGCAATTTCATTCAACCCCTCTGTTCCTCCCTTTCTGTGAAATGAGGGGACAGCAGCACCCACCACACTGGCCCTGCAGGGCTACATGTCTCATCCGTCACTTGCTGCAGGCAGCAGCACTCACTGACTTCCCCCTCTGTGTGAGGTCCCTGTGGGCATCGGGAAGGCAGGGGAGGTCAGAGAGGGGCCCCAGAATAGCCCATTGTAGCTGTGACCACAAAGTACTGCAGGCTGCATGGCTTATAAACCACAGAGATGTCTTTCTTCCAGTTCTGGAGGCCGGAAGCCTGACATCGTGGTGCGTGTAGGGTCAGGTTCAGGGCCATAGCCTGGCCACTTCCCATCAGGGCACTGATCCCGTAAAGGACACCATCTTCATGACCTTGTCATCTCTACAGGCCCGTTCCCTCCTAATACCATCACCCTGGGCATTAGATTTCAGTGTATGAATTTGGGGGGAACACAACAGTCCCTCAGGAGCCCAGAGGCCAGAAGGGACCAGGAGGTCACCTGTCCTGCAGTGTAAGAAGTCAAACACGGGGAGCCCCTGCTTTCTTGTGTGTGGGGGGTGACTTGCTTCATCTCTCAGATTTAGCTGTAAAGTGGGATGGTGACAGATGTTGTCCCCTTGTCCCCATGACCTAGGATGAGCACAAGTGGCTCTGCAAACTGTAAAGTACTGTAGTTGGGGGTCTGCACGTACAGGAGTGTGTGCATCTGTGGTGGGAAAACATGGGCTCTGAAGGCCGAGGAGCTTGAGTTTCCTCTGCAGCATACTGGCTTGTGACTTCAGATAGATTGCTCCTCTCTCAGAGCCTGCATTTCCCCAGTTCAGGGAGATGATGTAAGTACCCACCTCTAGTTCTGAGAATTAAATACCATAAAGAACATCACATTCTGAGCACAGGGGCTGGCACTGAGCACATGCCTGGTAAATGCGACAGTGTAGCAGGCTGGGCCCAGACTGTCCTCGTGGTGGTTCAGGGACCCAGGCCCCTCATAGTGCTGGACAGTCCCAGGTGATGCACTGGCCGGGTCCCCATGCTCAGTGCTGTGGAGATGTAGGGTAGCAGCTCACCGCTTCCATGGGGAATGTGGGACTCCCAGAAGGAAATGCTCCCTCTTGCCTGACCCCTGAGCCCACAGATGCCCAGCTCACCCCCTCAGGGCATATGACCAGAACAGGAAGTGGGTTTGGGACAGAAGGGACAAGGGGAAAATGGGGCTCAGGCAGCAAGACTGACTGCGGCTGCTGTGTCTGCCAGGGGTCCTGGAGGAGGCTGAGTTCTACAACATCGGCCCGCTGATCCGCATCATCAAAGACCGGATGGAGGAGAAGGACTACACAGTGACACAGGTCAGGACGCGCGTCATCCAGCCTGCGGTGGGGCAGGTGGGGAGAGGAAAGGAGGCTGGGGGAGGCGGAGCATCTGTGAGGGGAGGGTGGTCACAGCATGCTGGGGTTCTGTCCCTGCCTCTGTTCCTTTTGCTGTGTGTCCTTCTCTGGACCTTGATTTTCTCTCGTGGACTGGAGAGGTGCCAGAGTTGTCAAGTCATCTCTTCTTCAAAGAGACCGGTCTGCGGGAGGGAGTGGAGCTCTCCACCACCCTGGGAGGTGCAGGGCTGCACACAGGGAGAGAGGCACCCCACCCCACCTCGCCAGCCCAGATCTGAAGAGGGGAGGCTCAGCTGGTGACCAGATGTCTCCCAAGCTCTGCCCGCCCTCCCTCTTGTATCACCTGTGTTCCAGTCCCGGCGGCGCCACCCTCAGCCTTTCTGAGCCTCAGTGAAAAATCCCACAATGCACAGGGTCCTAGAAGAATTAAATAAGCTCATGCATGTTGAGCGCCTGGCACATAGTAGGTACTCAGAGCGTGGCTCCCTCCTCTCTCTTCTTTCTCTCCTGTCCTCCTCCTAGGGTAGATGTTTGAGGAGGTGGCAGCTGCCCTCCATGTGACCCTTCCCCCCACAGGTGCCACCCAAGCACGTGTACCGCGTGCTGCAGTGCCAGGAGGAGGAGCTCACTCAGATGGTCTCCACCATGTCTGACGGCTGGCGTTTCGAGCAGGTGGGCTGGGGACATAGGCACCATGGGGCACAGGGGTCATCTTCCTCCCTGCAGCCCAGCCTCAGGGTCCCCACCACAGCCCCACTGGAGACTTCTGATGCCCCAAAGCAAGAGGCCCCTCCTGTGCAGGGACGGGGACAGGACAGAGCCCCAGAGTCCTCTGAAGCTACACCATACATGAGCGAGGTTCCAGTCCCAAGTGACAGCCCAGGTACAAGGAGACGAGGACCACCGAGGTGAGGGTACTCACCTTGGTCTACACCTCTGTAACAGCTCCATAGGTGTGTCTCCAAGGACGGCCCTGCTGACGTCAGGGAAGCCCCATGCAGACTTCCAAAGAGGGCCGTGCAGGGACCTATGGTGCCTCCCAGGCCAGATGCCCTTACCCGCAGGGTTGCTTTCGACACAAGCAGTGTTGTCCCGGGGGTGCACCCAGTGACGTCCAACCACTGGGATTTCCAGAGGAGCAGAGCCAGAGAGCGAGTCCAAGGCCAGGCCCTTCCAGGAGAAGGGTTACACCGCCCCTCACCCACCATCATGAGCTCCCAGCATGGAGAATGAGGAAAGAGAGGGCTGGGATGCCTGGCTCAGGAGCCAGAGACTTCATTACCCTCTGCGGCTGCCACACCTCCACCTGTCACATCACGGCTCCTCCTAGGGCCTCAGTTCTCTTCTGGGCTGTGGACTAATAGTACCTCCTTCATGGGCCCTTTGTGGAAATTGGAAGAGACACCTGTATAGTTCTAGGCCTGGGCAGGACGCCACCCTTGGCCTCAGTATTGTGCAGACTGCCGGAAGTACAGCACTGAGGTCTTGGTGGCCCCAGAGAGGACGCAGAGTGATCTCAAGTTCCAACCCCTATCCTGCTTTTTCCCGGCTGAGGACCTCCCAGGCCACCACCTCTCCAGGCTGTGCCACTAGCAGAGTGATATTCTTCTTCTCTGCCTGCTGGAAGAGGGTCCCTGAAAACACAATGGGACCTGTCAGGAGCCAGGACCTCTTTAGCCAGAGGGCCATGAGAGTGTGGCTGTTCTAGGGACCTGGGACAGGAGTCTCTGGCAGTTGCCTGACCCTCAGAGACAGAGCAAACAGAGGGGGACGAACCCCTGGCCACTTGTCCTCCTGGCCAAGGCCTGGCCATCCGCGTCACCACTGCAGGCAGGAGGGAAGCGGATGTTCTTTGGGGCTCCGCTGCACCAGTCCAGGCTGTGAGCTGGTGTGGGTCAGGGCCAGGAGAGGCATAGGGAGGGAGGGAGATGCCTCTGGCTCCCTGCCTTCCTGGAGGTGTCCTGAAGCTGGGCAGCTGGGCAAGAGCAGGGCTAAGTCGATACACAGCCTCATCTGTCCCCGCCCCCACCCCCAGCTGGTGAACATCGGCTCCTCCTACAACTACGGCAGCGAGGACCAGGCGGAGTTCCTGTGTGTGGTGTCCAAGGAGCTACACAGCTCCCCGAACGGCCTGAGCTCAGACTCTAGCCGCAAGACCAAGGTGAGCCCGCCCTGCCTGAAACCACGCCCCCACCCGTCCCCTCGCCATCCACTGCCACTCTCTCCCTCCTGCGGCACACGCATAACCCCATGGTCACAGCCCATGCCATCCATCCCATGCCACGTGGTCCTGTCTGCACACACCAGTTACACAGACCCAGGCAGGGGAGCAGCGAGACGGGACTGTCCCGAGGACTCAATGCCAGGGGTGTCGGGGCCACATGCTGGCCACGGGTGTTGTGGCATGAGACAGAGTGGCCGAACTAGTAGTCAGGGCCTGGTGTGACACTCCGTGTGACCTGGAGCAAGGCCTGTCCCCTCTTGGACCCTCCGTTGTGCCCTCTGTGTAGTGTGCAGGGTGTACTGTGGACTCTGGTGCCTCGAGCGTGGGCCCCTGGGTTCCCAAATGGGTAGGTGATTCCAAACAGGTGGTGTATGTCCCTGCTCTTGCCCTTCCTCGGCCTCCTCCTTGCGAGCTCTGCCCAAAGGGGGCCAGGTACCCTGGGGACCTGGCCCTGGCTTTCCACCCTGGCCCAGGTGGGCTGTCCTAAGGGGACACCCGGCAGCATCAGCACTGTAATGAGGGGTGCAGCGGGGTCCTGCTCCCTGGGCCTGAGCTGGCCAGGTCCAGGGGCTCTGGTCAGACCGGCAGAGCAGGCCACAGGCTGGGAGCAGGAAACCTGCCCTCCTGGGGACCTGTCCTGTGCACTGGAAGCTCAGGAACTCCAGCTTCCTGTCTGTCTGTCTGTCTGTCTGTCTGCTGCCCTGTGCTGCTGTGGGTCCCCTGCCCACCCCACCCGGTGGGTGCCAGCCACCAGCACTGCCTTGCAGGACTGCAGGGTGAGCCTGCCACTCTGCCTTCCTGCATCACCTGATGCTGCTGCTGGCGTCCCTGACCTGGCTGGCACAGGCCCTGTGCTCCCTTGACCTCCTATTCTGAATCTACCCTCCCCAAGCAAGGCTGTGCCAGGCGCCCTTCCCCCATTCCTTTTCTGCCTCCCACCCCAACCCCTCCCTGCATGTATGCCAGTAGCCAGGCTGAGCCTGAGCATCCCAGCAGGGCCCCTGGTCCCAGCCTCAGCTAGCCACTTCCCCAAGCTTCCCAGGGGCTGGGGAGGAAGCCCCCAGCTTGTGTGGCTGTAGCGCTTTCTCTCCGGAGGTCTCCTTCGTCTTCTCTGTCTGCTCTGGCCTGAGATCGGGGTCCGTGGGGACAGCTGCCCTGGCCCCCGCGTTAGTGTCTCCACTCTCTCTTCCCTGGGTCTGCCGGCGGCCACAGAGCGCGGAGGAGCAGCTGGAGGAGCGGCAGCGGCAGGAGGAGGAGGTGGAGGAGGTGGAGGTGGCACAGGTGCAGGTGGAGGCAGATGCCCAGGAGAAAGGTGCAGCCCACCCCCAGGAGGAGGATTGCTAACAGCCGAGCGAGCAAGCGGACCTCTGCCCTCTCCCTGCTGGAGCCAGCTGCAGCCGGCCAGGCCGTGGGGGGGGCGGGCTGCAGGGTTAGCTCAGTGCCTGGCGCCTCGCCGCCGCCTGCCTGCATAACCATCCCTCTCTCACTTTCTCTTTGCAGCCCAGTCATCTCAGGATCCCGCTAACCTTCCCTCCCTCCCACCACCGCCTCCTCCGCTTCCCGCTGGAGGTCCCGCCTCATCTTCATCCACCTTCTCTTCCTCCTGGACCTCATCTGCACCCTGCCTCCTCCCTCTCTGCCCCTGTCCGGGTTTCCTCTCTGCCTGCTCACACCTCCATCCTGGGGCTGCCCTGGTCCCAGGCCCCCGGGCCCCGCATCCCAGAGCATCCTGCCTGCCGCCACCTCCCACGCCCCTCCTGGTCCCTCCCGCCTCCCGGCCTGGGGAGGAGGGGCACAGCCGTGCCTGCTGTGTGCCCACCAGCCCCACCACCGCCACCGGGCACCTCTGAGGCTGGCCTTAGCCCTAGGCGCTGCCCCGGCCAGCTCCTGCCACTGCCACCACTCACCTCTCCTCCTTGCAGGTCCCTGTCTGCACCCTCCCAGCTCCAAGCCTGCTCCCCGGCCCCGCGCCCACCCCCAGAGCTGCCATCCCTGGTTGGTAGCCCGGCGGAACGGAGGGAGGGGCGGAAGCCAGGAGGGTGCACGTCTCTGGTCCTTGGACTGGAGCCCAGAGCTCTCTTCCCTCTGACTTCCCCACCCACCAAAGTCTCCCGCCCCGCCTGGGCCTTGGGGTGAGGCTCTGAGAGCAGAAAGTCAGGAGGGGGGGCCCTCGCCCGCCTGCCCGCCTGCGCCAGCACCTGAGCCGGGCTGGGGGAGGGGGCTGGAACCCGTTCCTTGACCTCACCCACGCAACCCCAAGAGCTCCTATCACCGCGTGGGGCACCGGGTCCCCTGTTTCTGTGGGGTGGGCAGGCCCGGCCAGTGAGGAGTCAACTAGAGCTGGTTAAGGGTAGGGCTTCGGCAGAAAAGCCCTGGCCAGGTGCCCGCGAGCCCCCACTCGGTCTTTCTGCCAGCCGTTGGGCAAGTCACTGTCCCTCTCTGGGCCACGTTTGGTTCTAAAATGGGGACAGACAGCTGTCCTGTGACTCCTTTTCTCTGAGACAAGAGTGACTTGGCCTCTCCCAGCCCTGTCCCCACCACAGTGGCCTCTCGGGGCAGTCACCACCATGCCCAAGCGGGACACAGGGCACGGGGCTCCGGATGGGTTAGCGGGTCACCCCTCCCGCCCTCTCCTCCTCGGTTCTGGTTCTGACTCCGCCTTCTCAGGGCCTCAGCCCCGCTGTCCCTCCAGAAGTGGCCTGTGACTCACCTGCTCTCTCTCCCCCTCTCTCCTCCCCTCTCCCCTTGACTCTCCTCACTGGCCCTGGTCTTCCGACCCCTCCTCTCCTCCTGCCCCTTCCCCCTCTTATCTTCTAGCTATTACAAGCCAGAGGCACCCGGATGTGAGGCCCCAGACCACCTGCAGGGACGGGGGGTTGCGATCCGAAATCCTTTATTTTTGTACCACGGGGTGGGCCCCTGGCCCCAGAAGGAAGAAGCACTCTCCCCCCTGCCACTTCTGTCTACACCTGCGGGGCTGTGACTTACCCCTGCCTCTGGCAGCGGGCTGGGGGCTGCCTAGGACCTCACAAGGCCTACGGTGGGCCCTTGGCCCTGTGGGCAGAGCCGCCTGCCCCTGGCCCAAGCGTGGCACTGTCCGTCTGTGTCTGCCAGGCCCCCTTGTGCCCTTGCCCGGGCCCCCCTGCTGCATGGTGGATGTACTCCCCCCTGGCCCCGTCACATCACCTCCTTGAGCCTCAGTTTCCCTGTCAGCGGGGTAACCCTCCTGCCCGCCTACCTCACAGGGCTGTGGGGTGCAGCAAGGAGCAGAGTCCCTGAAAGCCCTCAGGAGTCGGACTGCCCTTGTCTCCCCCAGGGGTGCCCAGCCTAACCCCAAAGCAGGACACTGTTGGCCAATAGAGATTCAGGTGTTGGGGGTCAGGGCATGGAGATTCCACCCTTTCCAATGGAAGGGGTGAGTGACTTGCCTTCACCGTGGCTGTCCCCATGCCCACCCATGTGCGTGGCTACAGAGCACCCTGCCCAGCCAGAGGGGCCGGGAGCAGCTCAGGAACTTGTGATGAGGCTGGCTAGGACAGGCTGTGTCAGGGGCCCTCCGTGTGTGACCTCCAGGATGGGTGCTGACCTCTCAGCTGTGGCCCACCCCTTCACAGAATAAACTGAAGAAACAGCCTGGCCATCTCCTCTTTGCAGCCCTTGCTGGGGGTGGGCCAAACTCCGGGTGGGGAGGAATGGTGTTTTTCCTAAAGCCAGGGCGCCTGCCAGGCCATCAACCGTGCTGTACACTGCGGGACAGGTTGGGATGTGGCTGGGTCCTCCGCCAGGTGGCTGGAGGCCAACAGCACCTCCCCCGCCACAGACACACCAGGGAGCCGGGCAGTGGGAACTTGGAGCCCCGGCTGCATCCTGACCTCAGGATGGCCCTTCCCGCCCTGACACCCCGACCCCTCCACCCTGCTACTGCCAGCCGCAGGCCCTGGGAGACACGCATGCCCAGGCCTCCGCTCCTCCCTCTCCTAGACCCTGGACACTTGGCTTCCCTTTCCTGCCCGGCCCAGCCAGTTCCTTCCACTCCCCCAACCCAGCAGTGAAGCCCTCGGGTGCCATGTCCCCCAGGGCAGGGTCCCGCCCAGCTCCGCTGTCCCCTTGTCCCCTGAGGATACTCCCTCCTGAAGGTGAGCTTACTCTGCGCCCACCTCTGCCACCTGGAGCCCCCCACTCACCCACCTGCATCAATTCTGGGGATGGCCCCAGAATTTGAGTTTTAGGAGAGCACCCAGGGGTCACAGCTCAGTTCTGCCAGTGCACGTGGGGCGTGTGACCCTAACCGCGCCCACCCCCGCCCACCTGGCCACCTGCTCCTTCCCACCTCCCTGCAGGACCAGCCAGGCTCTCCCCTCTCCTTCCACCTACTCTGTCAGGGTCCTGGCGGCTCCCCTGCCTTTCCTTCTCCCAGTTAGGCTCAAGGAAGTGTGATCACCTGACCCCCACACTCTGCACCTTGTGGGCTCCATCATCACCCCCTCCCCGCCTTCTGGCTGTGTCCAAGCCCGGCCTCTCCTCCCTGGGCTCTGCGCTGGCCTCCCAGCCGCCTCCTGCCTCCGCACTGCTGCACCAGTGTGAATCCAATCGTGTCGCCCCTCGCCTAGGCTGCCTGGGGATCCCATAGCTCTCGGGGTCACAATCCCAACTCAACCCCAGCCTGTCTTTTCTAGCCTCACTTTACCTCTTTGAATCCCCAGTCCATCCCTTTTCAGACTCTTGTAACAGCTCGACTTGCTGAGCCCCAGGACTCTGCGTTCCGTGGGGACTCTGCCTTTGCCCAGGCTCCTCCCCTGCCTGACGTCCCCCAGCCACACCCTGCAGGTAGCCTTTCCTGGCCTCCGAGTCATACCCCACAGGCCCCTTGATTGGCCCATCGTGCCCGTGCTGAGTCCGGGAGCTGCGTTCTTTCCTTCTGTGGCCCACAGTGCCTGGCCCACAGGAGCCCCTGAAATACCCGCTCAGCAAGTGACTCGGGGACAGCAGGGGGCAAGCATCCCACTGGAGGGCATGGGTCCCACAGCTGGCTCCGCTGTCAGCCCCCAGTGCCATCATGAGGGCGCCCTCGCCCCGCTCTGCGCCTCAGATTCCTCCCAAGATTCAGAAGGAATCCATCTCTCATCCGTCCCATCCCCCTCCATGTGACCTGAGGGTCCCCAAGCCATGGCCTTCCAGCCCTCCTTGGCCTCCTCGGCCCCTTGGTGCCTTCTGGATGCTTGGCGAGCAGGCTGAGCAGGAAGCAATGAGGCGGGCCAGTCCCCAATCAGACGCCAGCAGCAGAGCCTCACTGGTCAGGCGCTTTATTCCTTGAGTGAGCTGCCCTTCTAGACTGGCGGCAGGGATGGGCGGGACTCTCCAGCAGAGGCCATCCCACCCTTTGGCTTATGGCAGCAGCTGCCCACTTGGCTTCCCAGGGCCTTAAGGTTCCGCTCTGGCAGGAGCACCTCCCACTCCCCAGGGTGGGGCAGAGGCTGGGATCTGCTCCAGAGCCAGTGCTGTGCATCCACATCCGGGCTCTGCCTGGAGCAGGGGGCTTGACGCTTCTTCCTGGGTCAGAGAGCTGCACCGTCCTGCTGAGTGCCCCCAAGACAGTGTGAAGCAAGGAAAAAGACGAGACCAAGAGGATCGACTGGGAGGTGACAGCGCTGGGTGTGACCCCCCACCGGTCTGGCCCATTGGACCTGGGCCCCCAGGAGGTCCTGACCACAGGCTGATGGTCCTCGCCCTCTTGTGCAGTCACTGAGGCATGGTGGGGACAGGATGCCACCTCCTGCCTCCGCAGGGCCACTTGCCCCCAGAATACTTGTTCGTCTGCCTGGCGGGCACCCTGTACACTCTGTCCAGGAGGTGCCCCTGGCTCACAGCACCTCAGGTCAGCGCCTGCCGGATCCAGCCGATCACACCTGTGATGCGAGTGTAGACGCCAAAGTAGTTGGGCCGGCCACAGCCCAGGCCCCAGCTGACCAGCCCCGCCAGGAACCAGCGGCCACTGGGCTCCTTGCACACCAGCGGGCCGCCGGAGTCACCCTGAGGAGGAGAGGACGGGGCTGTGTCAAGAATTCGCTAAGTGGCAGCAAGAAAGGCAACCCCAGTCCGAAACTCCTCCGCAAGCCTGGTAGGCGGATTGTAGCAGCACTGCCGCCTCCAGTGGGGTCCCAGCTCTCAGGAAGTGTGGTGGAGTCCCCACACCCTGCGCACCTTACCTCCCTCCCTCCTCCTGTCCCCCCAACTCTGTGGCCCCAGAACTGGGTTTGAGCCTGCAGCCTCCCTGCCTGAGATCTCCCCTGCTCAGCGTCCTGCTGCCTCTCCTGGCCTCAATCTCCTCGTCTGTGAAGTGGGTGGGTGGTGACTGTCCACCTTGCTGGGAGGCCTGGAGGCTCCGCAGGCTGATGTGAGCTAGGGGCCAGTCTCTGCATGAGTGAGTGTCACCCTCTCCCTGCTTGCCAGCCCCACAGTGTCACCTGGCACGCATCCTTCTTGCCCTTGCGGTAGCCAGCACACAGCATGCGCGGTGTCACCTGGTAGTGATAGGCCTCACTGCACAAGTCCTGTGCAACCAGCTGCACATCCACTTTCTGCAGGACATTGCTGGTGGGGCCTGCCGGGAGGTAAAGGGCAGAGGTGAGAAGAGTGTGCTCAGAAGCCCCCCACACTTCCTGCCCCCTTCTTGATCTCGGGAGCCCCCTCCTTCTCTCCTGCTCTACCCCTCTGCCTCACTGTCCCTCTGCTCTGGCTATCTGGACCGGTGTCTTCCTGTATCTCATCCCCTCCCTCCTCCCACTCCAGTGCCCCTGGCCCAGCAGGTTCCCCTCTGCTCAGCTGCAGCCCTGGGGGAAGTTTCCAGAGCCTCCACTGTCTCCTTAATTCCCTTCCATGGTCCTGCTGTCCAACCCAGAGCTGCTCCACAAGTGCTGTGTGTTAGGGTTCCCTGGAGAGCTCTGATGGACCCTGGCACCTGGTCCACCCAGAGACGGCCTCATTCATCTAGGGCAGGGCCCGGCAACAGGGATTTGAAGACCCAAGTGCAGATGGGGAACAGAACACCTGGCCCAAGAGCCTTATGGTGGCCTGCAAGGCCCTGCTGGTCCTTCCTGAGACCCTCACCCAGCTGCACTGCCCTCTCCCCCTAGGGCCCAGCTCCCCGCCGCCCCACTCCTGTTGTCCTGTGGTCTTCCTGTCCCACACCTGTGCCTTTGCCAGGAACACTTCCCTGTTCCCCTTGCACTGCCAACTCGGCGTCCACGCCTCAGCTTAGCCAGGCAGCCTCGTCCCGGAGTCCTCCTCGACTCTGCCTGGTCTCCTCTGCTGCCCCTGTCCCCATTGCTCCCCATCTGTGTCAGCTCTTACCACTGTGTCCCTCAAAACATTTTCATCTTTCCACTGTGCCTAACTGGGCGCGTGGCATGTAGCAGGTGGTCATGTACGTGTTGAATGAATGAACAGGTTAGCGAGTGAGCCAGTCTTTGCTTTGCCACTACTCTTGTCATCCCTTGGACAAGTCCCCTTTCATCTGAGCCCAGTTTTCCCATCTCTCTACAGGACTCGGGAGTGTAGCTCAGGGGCAGAGCACCTGCCTCGCATGCACAAGGCTCTGGGTTCGATCCCCAGTACCATAAAATAAATGAATAAAAAAAAATCTCTACCATCCCCCCTGCATCCGGGTGGTAAACCATTGTGCACATTTTCGAAGCCCCCCACCGTGAAGCTTGCAGCCCAAGGCTGTAGTGACACCGGCTGAGCCTGTGTCCACAGAACGGAGGGGTGGCCCTGGGGACAGCCCGCTCTGCTCAATCAGCTCTGGAGGAGAGAGCCCCTTTCTGAGCACAGCAGCAGGAGCCGGGTTGTGGAGTGAGGCAGGCCTGGGTTTCCATCGCTGGCTGATCCCCTGACAAGGTGATTTAGCAGACAGCAAATGCCACCTTCAGTTTCCTCACCCATCAGATGCAGCCATGAGTCCCACCCGCAAGCTGAATGGATGATGTGCACTCGTGTTCCCCTAAAATCCATCTGCAATGTGTGAATGATAAAGAGCCAGGGGCAGTAGCACACGCTGTAATCCCAGCTACTCAGAAGACGGAGACTGGAGGATTCCAAGTTCAAGGCCAGGCTTCAACAAGACTCTGTTCTAAATTTTTTTTTTTTTTTTTAAAGGAAGCAGAGCAAGGGTTGAGGCAGCAGTCGAGCTCTCGCCTAGTGTGAACCGAACCCCTGGCTTCAATGCCAAGTACAAAAAAATAAAGGTGCTATTATTAAGAGCCTGCCCCAGCTCACCTCCACCCCTGTGCCTCTGTGCAGGAGCCTGCACTTGAGCTGTGGCACCCTGGGCCTCCACTTCTGCCCCCCACATATGCCCAATGACTTGTGCTCTGCTTAAGTAATGGGTGAGGGTAAAGGGGACCCGCAGGCCATACTATAAGGGACTCATCTGTAAAATCCATCCAGACTGAGCCACCGAGGAAAAGGGTCCGGATGTTGTCCCCACCCCCCATGTCCCGACCCCCGCAGCTGCTCACCGCCCTCTCGCAGGGCACCCCAACCCGTGATCCAGCAATGCAGGCCGGGCTCGAAGAAGTGGGAGCGTGCAGGCAGGCAGACAGGGCGGACAGTGGCCGAGCGCACCACCGGGTGGTCGAGCTGCAGCAGGGCCACGTCATAGTCGTGGCTGTCCTCCTCGTGGTACGGGTGCAGGAGCAGGCGGCTCACCTTGAAAGACACCTCGCCAGGCCAGCGGGCGTTCTGCCGCATCTTGCCCAGGAACACGGTCCACAGCGCTGGGTTGGCCATGCTGGGTGCGTGGGAAGAGCGGCCCGGCTCAGTGCCACAGACGCTCCGGCCCTCCCTCCCCAAGGTCGAGCTAGTGTATGGTGCTGGGTGTTCCCTGGGCCCACGGCCCCCTTCATCCCTCCCTGGATAAGCAGGTGCGTCCACAGGCCTCACCCGGAACACAGAAAGCGCACTTTCTACTCATGGGAGCTTAGCAGACACAGAGAAGGCTGTGCGTGTAAAACAACTAGGCAGTGCCAGGCACCGGACACGCCTCTGTGTGTGCCCACTTCACAGAGGGCTGTGGGGAACTCCAGGGTTTGCCAGCCCTGGTGTGGGGGCTGAGTATCAGAATCAGCAGGGGGCGGCCGTGCAGGCCCCTGGATACCAGTGTCATCAGCCGGTGGGGGGGTTCTTCACCTTGAGGGCAGTGGGGAGCCAGGGTCCCGGTGGCCAGAGCTGCCTGGCTAGGACAGCATGGTGGCCATAGAGGACACAGGACAGGGCTGGCCTCTGCAGTGCGAGGGCCTGGGAGCTCGGAGCCCAGGTCTGGCTGGGGTAGAAGGGGGTCCAACCCATCAGCCAGAGGGCAAAGAGGCTGTGGGCTGCTGTGCTGGCCTGGGGGGCTTCCCTGCCCACCACCCCATCACAGGCTGTCCTGGGGGTGTCACGGCTGTGACAGCATGGGCAGTTCTGTCCTCTACCCCAGCCAGCACCTGGCGCAGCCCCGAGGCATAGGAGGAGCACAGCAGAGACTTCCAAGTGAGTGACTCATGGCCCAGCCTAAAGCAAGATTCCCCCGGGGGGGCAGAGAGCTGCGCAGTGCCCAGGGGCTCAGAGCGTCTTGGGGTGGAGCCAGGACCAGACCCAAGCGTCGCAGCAGTGCTGGGGGCTCTTCACCAGGCCCGCATCCCCACATAGCCTCCCTGCCCGCGTCATCACAGTCCCGGCCGCTGCGCCCCTCACCCGTCCTCCTGGAAACAGTGGGCAGCTGTGATCACCCAGCGGTCAGCGACGAGGGCGCCCCCGCAGATGTGTCGGCCGCGAACCTGTAGGCTGGCCTGCCACGGCCACTCGCCCTCAGAGGACACGGCCCCGCCCACGATGCGGCTGGAGGGGCCCTGGAGGCCACAGTCTGGGGTGGGAGAAGGTCAGGGCAGGCAGAGGAGGAGGGCAGGGAGAGGCCGGCGAGGGACAGAGAGGGACAGAGGCAGAGCGGAGGAAAGAGATGGTGAAAGACAGGGAAAGGAGGCGGCGGCGGTGGCAGAGGCAGAGAGGGACAGACAAAAGAGGGACAGACCGACGGGTGAGGTTCCCCCGGCCCCCGCCCCGTGTACCCAGCCCCCAGGGTGTCCAGCAGGCGCTGTGTTGCTCACCACAGTGGCGCTCATCCGAGCCATCCCTGCAGTCCGACTGCCCGTCACACTGCGGGTTGGGCTTCCGCACACAGCTGCGGTCCTCACACCGGAAGGTGAAGGTCCCACAAGGCACTCCTCGGGTGGGGGCGCAGAAGGTGGGTCTCTGAGCCCCAGGGTGCCAGGAGAGGCTGGCAGGGCACTGGGGAGGGCCCTCTTGCTCACACAGAGGGTCCCCCGAGTCTCATTTAGGGCCTCCTAAAAGCAGGCCATGTCCCCACCAACACACATGGGCCCATCTGCTGAGAGGGAGGCCGTCTCCTCTCTTGGACTAGACTTCTCTTGGACTAGACCTCTCACCACAGGCTCATGCTTCCTCCAGTGTGGTCCCTGAAGGCAGAACTGTGCCCCAACTTTAAGACTGGGTCTCCAGAGCAGGGGCCCCTAGGCCCTTGCTCTGCCCAACGCCTTCCTGCCTTCACTGTTCCCAATGTCCTGTCCACCACCCAGTCTGCCTGGTCCTCTTGCCCCTCACCTGCCCACCTATTTAAATTCCAGTCCACCTCCTCTTGAGAGGCCTCCATGTCCAAGCTGCCCACACTACAGGACATGGGTCCAGAAGACTGGGTCAGAAGAGTAGCCACCATGTCCTTCTACTAACAACCCCAGAAGGGCAGGGACCACATTTCTGATGTCTTATTCCTTCCTCTTCACCCCACCTTGTCTGTCACAGAGTAGTCTGCAAGCGTTGCTTGCCTGGTCAGACAGATGGAGGAAGGGAGGGAGGGAGTGGGGGAGGAAGGAAGGGGTAAAACTATGGACACAGAAGACTGAGCAGATCAACAAATGAGTAGATTGATGGTCCAATGGGGAGACTGACAAATAGCTATAAGGTGAACAAATCAGTGGGCACAAGGACCAATGGACAAACAGGTGACTAAGGAGATGGATGGATGGATGGATGGATGACTGGCTAGCTAGGTAGATGGATGGAACAAGAGCCTTTCAGACACATGGTTGGGCAAACCACTAAACGGCTTAGCAGTAAATGGTAGGCTGACAAGTTCAGTGAATAGGGAGAAAGATGGCTGGACAAGTCAGTGGATGAATAGGTGAATAAATAATAGTATGAATCAATGGACAGATGTGACTCAGGAGACCAGAAGGTGGTGGCTGGCTGGCTGGCTGGCTGGATGGATGGATAGATGGATGGATGGATGGATAGATGGGCACCCTAGCATAGCTATAGAGAGTTACTGGGTAGTTGATAAGAGAGCATAAACCTTCACTGAGAAGAATGAAAAAGGGCTGGAGTGCCTGGTGATGACCCCTTCTTTGACCCCATCCCCCCCCAGATCACTGGCCAGGTCCCATGTTTTGTCTTGATCTAGATGTCTTCCAGAAGCCTCAAGCAGTCATAGGCAGGGAGTTTTGAAGGTGGCTGGGTTAGGGTGTATGATGCTGGGGTTGAGGATATCCCACCTAAAGGCAGGTAGTCTGGATGGAATATAAAGGGAGAGGCAGGTGTGCTTCTGCTGCTACTATTGGTGCTTCTGCTGCTGTTTCAATACTTGGCTGCTTTGCTGCCTTTCCCCTGCCCTGCCATGAACTATTTCTGCTCTGTGATGCCCCTCTGCCATGCCACCCTGCCGTGGAGCCAGCTAACTGTAAACTGAAACCGCTACAAACCATGAGCCAAATAAATCTTCCCTCCCTTAACTTGTGGGTGTTGGGCATTTTGTCTCAGCAAGGAGAAAATAACTAAGACATCTGCGCTACCTTCTTGGCAATGCTCCTCATCGCTGCTGTTGAGACAGTCAGGCTGCTGGTCACAGACTCGGGACAGGGGGATGCACGTGCTGTCTTCTTGGCACTGGAATGTGGCTCTGCAAACTGTGGGGACACAGAAGGGCGGGGGAGGGAGACAGAGGAGCAGGCTGGGAGTCGGTGGTGTCACTAGAACATGTGAGGGTGTTGCCCATCCCCCATCTTTCTCTGCTGCTAAACACCTGGGCCTCCCAGCAGTCCTGTGAGATACCCCATTTCCTTGGCAGAAACAGGGATCAGGGGCGGGGGGTGCTGTTTGAGATCAACTGGCTGAATGAGAACCAGAAGCCCATTGTCCAGTTTCCAAATATGAATCACTTTCCCTGACACCACAGTGATGGTCCGAGAGGCTTCTCCCTTCCCTCTCTGTTCTCTCCTGGAACGCTGGCCAGAACAGATGACTGCGCTGTTGTCCTGGTGGGGAGCAGCCCTGAGCTGAGCCAGGAGGCCCAGCCTGTCTCTGCCACTGCCCTGCAGGGTGGCCCCGGGAGGCCACTTTCCCATCGGCTCCCATCTTGCCATTTAGCCCAGCGAGAGAACCCACTTCTTGGATGCTCGTGAGGGTCTCAGCTCTGCCCAGTGCAGGCAAGGCAGGAGAGCAGGGTGGGCGGGCTGCTCACCGCAGTTTCTCTCATCCAGGCCGTTGGGGCAGTCCTTGATCCCGTCGCAGGCGGGGACACAGAGTCCATTCACGGAGCAGAGGAACTCACCAGGGCAGGCTGGGAACCACGGAGGGCCATGGGACAGAGGGCAGCACTGGGACACGCGTAATGCAACACAGGCGACGGCACGCACCTGTGTGCACCACGCATGGCAGGTTCCCAGGGACACCATCATGTTAGCCCGTGCGGCTGCACACACCCAGACACATGCACACAACCCATGCATGGGTATGTGCAAACACGTGACAGACCCACACGGAGACACAACACTGCCTTACTGCATTTGCACGCACACACACACATATATCCACACGCACTTATATATCCACACACACTCGCATCTGCCATCCAGCTGCCTATGCAGCTGCTCACATCCAGGGACACAGAGGACAGGGAGGGGCCCTGGGGCTGGGGTGCCAGCCGCCCCCACACTCACGGTCCGACTGGTTGTACAGGCTGTAGTGCACCCGCACGCCCGGCCCTGTCAGGGAGCTCTGCGATGTGAAGTTGATGGTGATGCCAGCCGTGGCCACCACAGGGATCCTCTCAGCGTAGGGCTGCAGGGTGCGCAAGCCGCACAGCCTAAGGGTGACGAGAGGTGACTCGGGCGCACAGGCCAGTTTCCCAGCACAAGAGACGGCACAGCTGGGCCCTTGTGCACAGCGGGCAGAAAGGGTTGCCAGGGGGAGTGAGGAGCTGCACCCCGCCCCCCGCCTCCTCTGTCTTGATTTCTCCTTGGGGTGACTGCTCACCCCCAGAGTCATCTTCTGGAAAGCTGCCTGCCTATGTCACTCTTCTGCTTTAAAGCCTTCAATGGCCCCACTGTCTGCGGGCTAAAATTCAAAGTCTAGACTCTAGGCCCAGTCAACTGTGTGCTGTGAGATTCTACCAAGTCATGGTCTTTGTCTAAGTCTCGCTTTCTTTCCTTTTTTGAATAAGGAAACTGGTCCTTTCTGTCAACCTCAGAGCTGATAAAGGGCTTTGTTATGGTTTTTGCCTGTGTATCCCCCCAAAGCCTCATGCGGCCATGGGGCAGGCTTTTAGAGTTTGATTGATTATGGGTATGAGAGCTACACCCACCCTGGGCTGGATAGTTTGCATATGTAAGGGAGAGGAAGAGGCTGCTTGGGGCCATTCCTCCCTTTTAGTGGTTGTCGTTTTTGCTGTGTTCTGCCACCATGAGCTGTAGCCCTCTGCCATGTGCCACTCTGCCTTGTAACCTGCCAACTTGTAACCTGCTTACAACGGTAAGCGAAATAAACCTTTCCTTCCTTAATTTTGGGCATCAGGTATTTTGTCCCAGCAACGAGAGACAAGTAATCAAGACAGGCTTCCACATGTTGGCAGGAAGAGGAAAAAGATCCAGACAGGCCCACTGCAGACAGATGACACCATGCCCTAGTGCTCAGGAGGGGACAAGGGAGCAGCAGCGCCCCCATTCCAGCCCTGCCCTGGCTGCAGCAGCTCTGCACCCTGGGGTTCCCCTGGGGACCCATAGCACAGAGCTGACGGGTTTGTGCCCTGCACGATGACACCCAGGGAGGACCACCGCCAGCCCAGGAGTGCCGTCATCCTGCTGGACACCCGCCCTCCCCTCCAAAAAGGGGTTCTGTTCAGACAGGGAAGGTGGGAGCCCCCTCTGGGTGGGGACCAGGTCACACCTCCCCAAGTAAGTGACACACCTTCCCAGCACCAGGCAGCCACCCCAGAAAGGTGGGGCCCTCCCATCCCAAGTGGGGCACCCTTGCAGAACCAGTGGGACGGCTCCTCCTGCTCACAGACATTGGATATTCCCAGTGCGCAGAGAGGAGGCCTTTGCAAGTGGGGGACACACCCAGAACATGGCCGCAGCAGGGACAGGAGAGGAACAGGAAGGAGGACATGCCCCCAAAGCACAGTGGGAGCACCCCTCACGCACACACACAACGTCCCCAAGTGGGCTGCCTCATTCCCAGGGCCGGACACTTCCTCAGAACTCCACAGCATGGTTAGCACCCAACAGTCCATCAGTTATTCAACCAACAAATACTTGAGCATGGGCTTTGAGGGCATTCTAATGACCTTTTCACCAGCCCCTGCCCCAGGGGCCGCAGGGACTCTCTGCACAGGGACTTTGAGCTTCTCCTTATGACCCAATGTGGCCAGGAGGACTGTTCTCAGTGGGGTCACAGAGAGGCTCGTGGGGGGAGCTAAGGTGGGGCTGGAATCCAGGCAGTGCCAGAGGAGAGGGCACCCTGATTCCACTTCAACCTGAGCTCTGGAGACTGAGCCCTTCAAATCCCACTATCCCCTCCCCCAGGGACTTGGCCTAGACTCTGCTTGGCTACAGTAACCCCATTCTTGAGCTCACTCTGCCAACAGTTCTCAAAGTGCAGTCCAGGGAACCCCGTAGGGTCCCAAATCCTTTTAATGGTAAAACTCAGGTGACTTTTGCTTTTTTTGTCCCCACTCACTCACTCACTGCCATACAGCAGGATTTTCCAGAGACTGTGAGGTCTATGAATCATAACTGACGGAATGCAGAAGCAGGTGCAGGAATGACAGTAGCAGGAATGACAGTAGCCCCTTCTTATCCATGGGATACATTCCAAGACACCCAGTGGGTGCCTGAAATTGCTGGTATCACCAAACCTAGGGATCAGCCGTGATCTACTCAGCCAGTTATTAAAGTTGCAAAAAAACATAAAATGGTGACACTATGCCACTAAATGTTTTTGACTTTTTGAGAAACAATTTTTTGTAAAATAAAAACTTTTATGCTGAAATATAATAGATTTTTTTTTTTTTTAGTACTAGGGATTGTGCCCCGGGCCTTCACACTGATCCACATCACACCTTTTATTGTTTATTTTATGTTGTTTTATTTTATTTTATTTTGAGACAGTCTCATTAAGTTGCTAAAATGCCCAGAGTGGGCTTGAATTTGCCATCCTTCCAGAGTGCTGGGATTACAGATGTGCGGCACCACATCTGGCCCAATTATTTTAAAAGAATGACAGTAGCCCCTTCTTATCCATGGGATACATTCCAAGATGCCCAGCGGGTGCCTGAAATTGCTGGTAGCACCAAACCCTAGCAACCCTGTTCTTTCAGTACATAAAAAAATCTCTCTAGGATGAACTTTAATTTACAAATCATGCACAATAAGGGACTGATAGAGGTAACTGACAATAAATAGAGCGGTTATAGCAATGAAATGAAAGTTATTTAAAATTCATGAATCAGTTCTGGAATTTTCCGCTTGATATTTTCAGGTCTCGGTTGCCCGCGGTTAAGTGATACTGGAGTGAGAGGGAGCTGCTGTAATAAACACTTTTAAATTTTCTAAGGTTTAATTTCCCACACTGTGAATGTAGATATATAATCTGTATAAGCAAAAGCTCTTCAGGGTGCTCTGTCCTTTTAAAGACGGTTAAAGGTGTCCCACATTGAACATTTTGAAAACCTTAACCCGGCACCAAGATTCTCACAAACCGGCTGCACCGGATATGAATGAGACGCCACCAGGAGGCGCCCCGGAGCAAGCCTGGCTCCTCCCGCCCGTCTTAAACTGTGGAAACGGGTTTTTGGTGTGCATAAACATGTTGTGTAGGTTGCTACGCTAGAGACAGCTCCAGGAAGTGGACAGGGGAGCTAGGGGCTGGCAAACACCGGGCAGGGGAAAGGAGGAGCCGGTGTGTCACCAGCACTCAGATGTGGGGAGAGAGGGGAGGAAGCAGAGCCAGCCGGAGGGGAGTGGGCCCCTTCCACCTAAAAGCCGAAATGCCATCTTGATCTGTGGGCAGAGGGCTGAGGCTCCAGTCCCTGCCACAGGACGATCTCCCTCTCGGTGACCCCAAGAATCCTGGGGTCAGCCCTCGGCTGATGCAGCCTTCCCAGGATGCTCAACCCTACAGCCTGGGCCCCTGCCTGCAGGGGTCCGGGGATCCAGGGGGACCCTCGCCTTGACAAGAGTTTGCAGGGCTGCTGAATTACTTTTACTGTAGCTGCCAGCTAATCTCACATGATAAAAATAAGAAACCCCAGAAACGTAGGCTGGGACAAGAAGGCTAGGCATAGAGCCCTGGCGGGTGGGACCCCAGCTCTCCCTGGGCATCCACCTTGAGGAGCCTCACTCTGGCCGGGCCCCTTGGCCCAGTGGAGTTTCTGGTTCCTGCTGCAGAACCTTCGCGGTAAGGAGCCTGTCCCTGGCCCTCTGTCCCTCCTGTCCACCAAGCCCTCTCCAGGGAGTGCCGGGGCTGACCAGGTTGCCCCCCCTCATCCCGCTGCCAGGCACTGGGCGTCAGAGGCACACGCTGCACCGAGCGACCTGCTCAGCCTTGGGTACCAAGGAATTGGAGAAATACTGGAAGGACGGATGGGAAGGTAACTGAGTGTGAAAGAAGAGAGGGAGGGAAGAAAGAGGAGAAGGAAGGAAAAGAGGAAAGGAAGAAAGGAAAGATGAGCTCATACATGCCCTTTCCTAAGGACAGGCTACAGGGAAGGGAGTGAGGGAAGACAGCCACTAAAGAGGAACAGCAAGCTGGGCACGGTGGCAGACGCCTGTGATCCCAGCACTCTGGGAGGCTGAGGCAGGAGGATCGTAAGTCCAAACCTAATCTGGCAATTTAGTAGCTTAGCAATACCTTGTCTCAAAAAAAAAAAAGAAAAAGAAGAAAGGAAGAAAGGAAGAAAGGAAGAAAGGAAGAAAGGAAGAAAGGAAGAAAGGAAGAAAGGAAGAAAGGAAGAAAGGAAGAAAGAAAGAAAGAAAGAAAGAAAGAAAGAAAGAAAGAAAGAAAGAAAGAAAGAAAGAAAGAAAAGAAACGGACTGAGATGTAGCTCAGTGTGAAGGCCCTGGGTTCCATCTCCAGTACTAAAGAAGAAAAAGGAACAGCGGTCTCCAACATGGTGACCAGAGCCCCAGACCTGGCCCTGCCCAGCTGAGCCTTGAGCCCGGCTGTGCTCCCTGAACAAGCTGTGTGACCTCCAGTACCTGGCACTGCCTCAGCAAGCCTTAGGTCTCACACCAGCCAAATGAGGCAACAGCCTCCCCCACCCCCAGCGTGGGGAGTCTCAGGGACACCTGACAAGTAGCTTTGGGGACAGCACGGGCTGCACGCCCAGCCTGTGCGCCCCAGTGGGTGAAGCTGCAGCGCCACCTCCAGCACGGTGGCCAATTGCAGGTGGGAACAAATGGGCCACAGAGCCAGGCCAGGCCCCAGGGGACCCGAGGGCCTCCTGACCTCACATCTGGGAGCCAGGGGAAATGTCTGAGCAGGTCACAAGGGAAGTGACATCACAGGAGAGGAAGCCGGTGAGGGGCAGGTTCCCGGAAAGGGGGAAGACTGCTGTGGTAGCGCCAGCTGGAGCGGGTTCTGCGAAACCAGCAGCCAGTGGCCGGATCTCCCGGGGACAAGTCTCCGCACCGCCCCTAGGCCACAAAAGGGCAGGAGGGCTGGGCCGGGTCAGGAGAAAACAGGTCGGGGGAAGGGGACAAAGGGCTCAGAGTCCCATGCACCACACGGGCACCTGCGTATTCGGACCCCTGTCCCTGTCCCTGACCCAGCCTGTGTCTCCCCACCCACTGCCTTTCTGGGCCCAGGACTGGGCCTTCCCCTCCGCAAACCCTTCCCCAGACCTCTCCTGCCTCTGCCACCCACACAGCAGATTTCCCAGCAAATGCTCAAAGAATTTCTCAGCAGCCACAGAGGACGATGGTTATCAAACCCGCACCACAACGAGAGGTGAGGGCTGGCCGGGCTCCTGCCTGGCAGGTTCCACCCGTGGCCCCCTTCTCACACCAGGCAGCACTGGAGCCTGCGGAAGGTGACAGGCTTCTTCCCCTGGGGACCCCAGGCCCTAGCGGAGGTCTCAGAAGACGGGGCTGGGTTTCCCAGGCTGCTCTTGGAGGGTTGGGCAGAGAGCCTGGAGACAGCCGGCTCTCCCATCTGGGGACTGCAGACACGCCTGGGCTCAACTCTGGCTTCACAAGCTGGGTAACCTGGCACAAATTGCTTCACCTGTCTGTGCCTCAGTTTCCTCACTGGCTGCTATAGTTAGGCTGTGTCCCTGGAGTTCGGGTGTTGGAAACTTAATCCCCAAAGGCATATTTGGAGGTAAGAGGTGATTGGGTTACGGGCTCAGCTCTCATGAGTAGATTAACCCACTTGCAAGTTAGTGGCTGAACAAATGAATGAGTTAACGGGTTGTCCTGGGCCCAGGTCTGTTATAGAAGAAGCCAGTCTGGCTGTGCCCATCACATGACATCCTCCCCCTGCTATGATACAGCATGAAGCCCTGCAGACACCAGTCCTCACCCTTGAACTTGCCAGCTTCCAGCACCGTGAGCCAAATAAACCTCTGTTCTTCATAAACTACTCAGTCTCAGGGGTTTTGTTACAGCTACAGAAAAGACCAGGCACTGTCATGAGTACCCATGTCCTCCCTGCAGTCTTGAGAATCGGGGAGATGGCACTGTAACCCCTCAGCTTTGTGCCTGCCCAGTGCAACTGTGTGGTTGGTGCCACACGGAGCTGCGCCTTCTCGAGGCCTGAGCATGCCAACATTCTGCCCCAAAGGCTCATCTAGCCTACAGTGGGAAGAAGGCCTGTTTCATGCCCCAGTTTTTTTTTGAGGGGGGAGTGCTGGGGATGGAATCCAGAGCCTCACACAAGCTAGGCGAGGGCTCTAACCCTGGGCTGCATCTAGCCCTTGCAGTCAAATTTGTGATGCGTTCCCTCAGGCTGGGAGAAGAGTCCTTGCCCATACAGGAAGTAGAGGGGCCGGGCTTTGAACCCTGGTCCATCTGGTCTCAGTACTTCCGCTCTCTCCTCCTTGCTGCCCTGATCTGGAATGACATTTTCCTGGGAATTAGAAAACAAACCTGACTGGGATGACATCTTTCTGTGGAGTGGATGATCACACCTTGGGGCCCTGGGCTCAGCCCTTCCCGGGTCTCAGTTTCCCCACCTGTACATAAGCAAGGGTGGGTCTCTGTAATCGGTCCATCCCATACTTCCTGTAGTTCAGTGTGGCTTGAAGACCCTACGAGACCCTCTCCAGGCCACTGGCGTCCACTGTGGGGCCTGGAAAACAGCCTTGTCCACAGAACTGTGGCTCATGGACCTGTCTCAAGGGACTCTGGGCCCCTGACACCAAAGGATGAGCCCTGCCCTCCTCAGCATGGATGGCAGCCTAGGGGGTCCCTCAGGAGCTCCAGGAAGGAGCAGGGCAGCCACACCCCGAAATGTCCCCTCTCCCATTGCAGGAGTGCTGGGAGAGCCCTCTGCTTCCCAGACAGTGCACACCTGAAGTCACACCGGCAGCCTGGCACCCCAATGGCACAGGCTCGAGTCACATCACGGCGTTTCTCCTTCCTTTTAGTCACAGTCCCTGACCGGCTGCAAAAATCCCAGGGAGGAAAAGCACATCAGTCAAGCCCGCCAGTCACCGTCACCTCTGGTCTGGGGGATCCCTTTACAGGACCTGCCCACAGGCAAAGTACACGTTGTGAACGGGATGCGACCGCCAGGATCTGAAGATCCTAGAGGCCTGGAACCTCCTCTCGCCCCACATAAGAAGGTTACACACTCGAAACCTCACAGTCAAGAAAACAAGGGGTTCTAGAGGTACATTCTAGAGGGCCAGCCCATGATGCTCCTGAGTCCCAGAGTGACAAGGACAGTGGCCCTCCTGCTCTAGATGCAAACCTTCTACTCAGCATCCCTGAGGAGACAACCTTCACCCGGGGCTTGAGCGGGAAGGGTCCCCAGTTCTGCAAGGGCTGCTAGAGTCCCTTTCTCCCCAGCTCCCCAGGCATCTCAGCACCTCCTGTCTCCCTCTGCAGGACAACCCTCACCCATCTGAATGTCCCCTTGACTTTCCTAGGTCCCCCCTCTCCCCAGATGGTGGAAAACACGGCTACACTTCCTTTGTCCTTCACCTGCCCTCTGTCCACCCTGGTCCTTTGGCAGGGTGGCGGTGGCTTTTGGTCACCTGCAGGGGACATTTCCCAGCCCTCTTCCTCCTGGTCACACTGTGGCCACACAGACCCTGGCCACTGCGCCTGGCACCACAGACCCCTCAGCCTGCTGCCCCTGGCCTCGAGGAACTCATTTCTTAGCCAGAAACCTCCTTTCCGGGGGCCCCAAGGGTGCAAGCTGGGACAAGCGTGGATCCCTGCAGGAGGTGCAGGGACGCAAGGCCTGTGGAGGTGGGCTGCACAAACCGGGAGCCAGGGCAGGGGAAAAGGCGCCTCGCTGCACTTGAGTGTGTCTGGGGGCTCTCGAGCCTAGTCCCCCACATCACCTCCCTGGGTCTGCATGTTGGACATGGGGTTACAGCAGCCAAGGACATGAAACCGGTTCACCCCAATTTGGAGCCTCAGGCGAGGAGGCTGACTGCCAGGCGTCCAAAGCCTGTGGATCCAGGAGAGGCGGGGCCAGGGGCGGAGCTCACTCGAGTGGGCGGGGCCAAGATCCACAGCCGGGCTTCAGCCCCGCCCCTGCTAGCTCCCCTCCGCTGTCCTGGAGGCCAGGAACTTGGGTCCTATGAGGCACCTGGCAGGGGTGGCGCAGGGACAGACAGGCAGGTACCTCCTGTTCTGTATCGTCCACTGTCCCTGAGTGCACGGCAGGCCATACTTCTGTCTCCGCAGAGCATAGGCATCAAACCAGAGGGCCAAGCCATAGTCCAGAGACGGCACCTGGCAGGTAGGAGAGCAACAACATAGGGTATGGCCAAGCTGGTGCACCCACCTCCCCAGAGGGCACAGGGAGAAGGCCACGCAGAGCCCCAGCTGGGGCTGAAATCTGTCAGTCACTCAACAAACAGGCATCACGGTAAGCCACAGAGGCTACAGCCGCCCCCCACCCCCACCCCTGTGGCCTGCCCAGGGCTCAGCCTCTGGGATCTATGGAGCAACCAGCGCAGAAGACAAGAGGGGTGTGGGCTCACCGTGAGATGCCAGGAGCAGTGGGTGCTGGGAGAGTAGTAGCTGGGGAAGTAGGGGGTGCTCAGGGCACCCTGCGGGTCCAGCCGGCCCTCTAGTGTCAGGTTCACCTGGCAGGCTGAGCCAGGGGCAACCGTTATGCAGGGCCCCTAACCCCACCCTGCCCTGAATACCTCCCACCAGGTGGGGCAGCTTGCAGCCCACCACCCCACCACCTCCAAAATGAGCCTCAGTTTCCTCATCTGTAAAAAACGGGAACAAGAATAGTACCAAAGGTGAGCAGATTGCATAGATAAAATGCTCAAACAGCCCAGCATGCTAAGTGCTCAATAAACGCTATCGTGTTGATAGTGATGGTGATAGTGATATTGGTAGTTCAGCTCTCAGCAGTTGACAAAATGCATTCACAGCTGTGCGGGCCTCTCAGCTGTGGTGCCTGGGAGGGAGGTTCACAGATGAGGTTCAGAGGGGCTGGGGTGGAGCTCAGTGGCACAGCAATTTCCTAACCCAGGGAGGCCCCGGGTTCAGGCCCCAGCACGGCAAAATGAAAACAATGAGGTTGGGAGGAGAGGGGCAGCTCGGCTGAGGAGCCCAGGGCGGGCGGGCGGGGTCTCCGCAGCTGCTCTGGATGCTTCTCCATGGGGCAAGGTCGCCAAACACCGGAGACTGTCAGAGACCCCGGGAATGGAGCCGGCTGTCGCTCCCCGGGGCCTGCAGGACCCGGGAAGGCCTGTTCCGGGGAGGCCCAGTTCCCTGTCCCGCCTCAGGGAGCCTCACCTTGGAAAGCCACGGGCTGCACAGAGAGCATGAAGGGGTCCACGTAGCTGTGCAGACCCTTCTTCCACACCACCGCCATGACGGGGCCTGAGGCCAGCACCTCCACCACCGGCTCCTGGCGACTGCAGCCGTAGACCCTGGCAGAAAAGAAGAATGGCAAGGGTGTGCGGGGTGTTTGCGGGGGTGTAGGCAGGTCAGGCAGCAGGGCTGGCAACTGGAGGGACAGGGGGATACATGGGGAATCTATGTGTACATCCGGGTCCTAGGCCCAGATCTATGACCGGAGGCTGTGTGTCCAACCGTAGGTGTCTCCCCTTGTCTGGGCCCAGAAAGTAACCAGAGTCCCTGTAAAAGTCAGACCAGCTCCTCAGATAAGAGGAAAGAGTTACGCAGACTTGGAGTTTACAATTCAGCTACAACAGTAAACCTAGTCCCGTGGCAGCTACCTTCCACCCCCTGCATCACCTGAGACCCCTGAGCAGGAGTGGCAGGGTGGCAGCTGCACGAACCACCACTCTGGCTGCGCACACCCTGGCTGCTGGCCTTACTCTGGTCTGGACAGGGAGAAATCAAGCGTGTGGTCCAGTGACGCCGGGACTACAGCCTGGTGCCTGCGGGGCTCTGAAGGGATAAGAGAGTCTTAGAACCCGGAACTTGAGAAGTCTGCAGTGTCAGCCCAGAAAGACTTCCCGAGCAAGGTCAACTCCTGGGTTTCCAGAGGAGGAAACTGAGGTCCCAGCGATCCGTGACAGGGCCAGGCATGTGCTCAGTGCTGCTGACAGCTGGCCCCTCCATGTCCTCAGGTGCCCCCGATATGCCCATCTCAGGTGGGGGTGCCCCCACCCCGACCCTCGCACCCACCTCCAGAGCCCTTGCCCTGGAGGCTGAGGCACCGGAAGAAATGGCCCTGCCTGCCTAGTGTGTGCGGGCCAGCAGCCAGCAGTGTGTGGCTCCGCCTCGATGGAGAAAGGGGGCCTCTTCGGGGGGGTGGGGCGGTGGAGACACCCTGGCTGGTTAGTACCCAGGGTCTGCAGCCTGGCAGAGAAGTGCGCGGCCCCAGGAGCCTCCCAGGGGCGTCCACCCGGCCTCTGCCTCAGTGTGGCAGGGAAATAAGAGGCTTCTATCCCCCGCAGCAGGCTGTTGGGTCCTCTGCTGGGGCCCCACCCGGCCACACACTGCACCCTCCCCTCCCCCCGTGGGTTCGTCTCCTGGGGGTGTGGGATTAAGACACGAGGGGACCCGGGAGTGCGTCATCTTTAGCGGGAGCATCGGTTTCGGCGCCTGGGCGTTTCTTACTAGCTGTCCCTGGAGCCACTGTGGAGAAAGCCTGGGAACCCAGAGACAAACTGCGTGGTCCGGGCCGGCGGAGGGTCCTACGCACTGGGCCCCTTGCCCACTCCTAGCGCAACTCTGGGGAAGTGTGAGAAACCGGGAGAAGGGTCAAGGCTAAGCGGGGTAGTAAGTCTCCTCCCGGGCTGCGGGGACGTGGCAGCGGCACCGGAGAAGCCCCAGGGAAAGCCCGGGAGCCCCACATCTGCCGGCCTGGAAGTCAGGTGGTGTCAAGAAGCAGCCCCCACACGCTCGACTGAGTCAGTGGGGCAG